TTCAAAGCAACATGCCAATGGCAAAGATCGACTGCCGGGCGTGAGCGATGGAGAGCCCTAACCCCGCAGCGGGCTGCGCGGGCGTCGGACTGGTCTACGCGGACGCGCAGCATATCATTATTTCCGAGGCTGTTGTGGCGACCCGGGCCCAGCTGGGCCCTGGCCACGCGCGCGTGTTAAGGCGTGGTGCGCAGCCAGACGGCCGCGCCTTTCCTCGGAGACTTGCGAGCGTTCCGTCCCCCATGTCAGCGAGGGCTGGACATGGGCAAGGATGCTTGCCAGCCGCGCCTCTGCCCGAGGGTCGCATGGGCTCCGGCTTGCAGCCTCCTGGAGCCCGAGGGGGGCTTTCAACGTCGCGAGGGCTGAAGGGGGTTTCAAAGGGTTTTGCCCCCCCCCCCCCCCCCCTCCTCCCCCCCCCTTCCCCTTGCGGCGCGAAAGTGACTGGTCAGGATCCTTGGGCCCCTCGCAGACGTCTTTCAATCCTGGGCGGAAAGCGTGGGGGCCCCAACGGATCTCGCGGGCATCAAGTTGCACGAGGCTATTGCGGCGGCTCTTTCTGTTGCTCCGTTGAGGCCAGGGGAGGCCTCCGTGGGGATCTTGGGCGTTCGTATCTTATAAAGGCCGCGCCTGACTCCGAGAGGTTTGTCACGGTTTTCATTGGAATTGCCGAAGGGCATTTTGCGGACACCGCGCGCGCTGACGATGCTAGCGCCCTTTGTCACATGCTCGGGCACTGCGCAGATCATCGATGTCATGTGCGGTCCTTTCCCTGCTATTGCGTTGCGCTGCCGGGCATGAGCTCGGCGCAATCTTCTTTGCTGGCAAGTCGCAAGTCATGATCCAGGTCAATGGCGCATGCAAAGTCCATTGGGAGCGAACGACATGTAATGCCATAGGCTCGGATATTGGCATGCCCAGTCTCAAAGTTGATGCGCAGGTTGTGCAGTCGCAGTTCTCTCCGGCACAAAGCCCCCGTGGAGCGCAGGGAGGAACGCCGTGGGCACTTGGGCGTGCCCGCGCCGTTCCTCGGGGGGGCGGCGCCTCTTCGTCGCTGGGCCCCCCCGAGATTTATTTTTCATGTGTCCAGCCTTTTCCTCTTCGTCGCCGCCCTCTTCTTGCTCCCCCTGCCCCCCCCCCCCCCAGCTTTTTCGAAAACGTTTTAAAACCAGCCCTCTGCAATTATGTTTGAAGATTGCAGATTGACGATGCCAGCGCACTTCTGTCTGCGATTCTTCAAGCGGGCATGTGTGCGGTAGATGTATGTGGCGGCTCCCTTTGATGATTGAAGATTGAAGACTTCTGGGCACTTCTCTCCGCGATTCTTCAAACACTGAGGTTCACCGCAGGCGTTCAAGGTCGAGCGATGGCAGTGCCCGAGGCCAGGGGCAGACAGCGTTTGATTACGTTTTGAAGCATATCTCGGCGGCCGGTGGCTGCGCGCACCGCGGGGGCCTGCGCGGGAGGGAGGGGGGGGGGGAGGGGGCATGAGGAGGGGCGAGGTGGAGAAGGGAGGGGGGGGGAATGAGGAGGAGAAGGGGGTGGGGGGGGGGATGAAGATCCTGAGCTCAAGCGTGGTCTTTTTTATCTATGTTATCCGTAAGCATATTGGCTCAAGCCACTGCTTGCGAGGGTGTAGTGTCATGTTGCTTTTGCAAGCTTGCTGTCAAGTCCTTAGCATGGTTCCAATCCATGGTGGGCGGGCGCAGCTTTGCGCGGATGGCCGCGCCGTGCTCGAATGTCAAGTGGCTGGTCCAGATCATGCTCAACAGGCGCCCGTTGTCGAGAACCCGCCCGCGCGCGACCAAGTCCTTGCTCGCGTCGCTGCCGACGGCGCCGCTGCGCGCCCTCCCCGCGCGCCCTTGCTTAAGAAAAGACGTCCACGCAGCGATGAACGACGCGCAGAGGTCTTACCATCTGCCGACGGGCTTGGGCGGAGGTTCGTCGGGGGCGAGCTGGCAGCGCCTCCCCCAAGGTTTCGCGCGCCTAAAGCGCCGTCCGGCAGCGCTCTTGGTTGCCTGCGCCTGCGCCGGTACTTGCGCCGGAGCCGGCGCCCCCGCCGCCTGCGCTGGCGTTGCCGCCGCCTCCGCAACCCGCGCGGGCAGCCGTTTCGAGCCCTCGAGAATGGCGTAGACGCGCGCGCGCGAAGCCACTGGCACATGTGAATCGCAAGAGCTTCAAGATGATTGAGCGCGAGGCGCGAGTGGCTCCATGTGCATCCAAGCATTCTGAGAGGGCGCGGATTCCCGGCCGCGCAGGCGGATGGCAGTTCTTGCCGGATGGGGGGCGCGCCGACGCGCTGGCCGCAAAGGGACACATTAACGACGAGTGCCAGGAGGGCAAGCGCCAGTGCACCAAGGCGGCTTGCACGTTTTACGGGGTCGCCCCTGGCTTACTCGTGCGCACGGCATGTGCCCCTTCACAGAGTGGGCACAGAAGAGGCACGGGCAGTTCGATTGTGGTCGGAGGTTGGGGGGTGAGATCGAAGTGGAACGGAGAGCCCCCTACCGGGAAATCGATTTCGGTTTCGTGTTCGTGCGTGCCGTGCGGGCGAGGCGAAGCTGCGTGGGCGGGCGAGAGAAAGTCTCCTGTGGCTGAGGCGCGGCCGGACCAAATGACCCCCTTCCGGGCGGCCGGGGGCCCGCGGTGCCCCGCCGGTGTCCCGCTTGTGTCCCGTGTGGCTGAGGCGCGGCTGGACCAAATGACTCCCTTCCGGGCGGCCGGGGGCCCTCGGTGTCCCGCCGGTGCCCCGCCGGTGTCCCGCGGTGTCCCGCGGCGTCCCGAGGCGCCCCGCGGTGCCCCGCCGGTGTCCCGCGGTGTCCCGCGATGATGATGATGATGATGATGATGATGATGATTATGATTATGAGATGGTGATGATGATGATGATGGTGATGCTGATGATGATGATGCTGCTAATGATGATGACGATGCTGATGATGATGGTGATGATGATGATGAGGACGATGATGATGAGGGTGATGATGATATGATGATGACAATATTATCATGATGATGCTAGTGTCCCGATGATGGTGATGTCGATGATGATGATGATGGCGATGGTGATGATGATGCTGATGGTGTCCTGATGATGAGGATGATGATGATCATGATGATTATGATAATGATCATGGTGATGACGATGATGGTGTCCCGATGATGATGAGTATGATGATGTTGATGTTGATGATGATGATTATGATTGTGTCCCGCTGATGATGATGTTGATGATGACTATGGCGTCCCGATGATGATGGTTATTCTGATGGTGATGCTGATGATCATGATGTTGATGATGATGGCGTCCCGATGGTGATGATGATGGTGATGTTGATTTTGATGATGATGATGCTGCTGATGATGATGATTATGTTGATGCTGATATTGGTAATGATGATGATGGTGCCCCGATGATGACGATGCTGATGATGATGCTGATGATGATGTTGATGATGATGATGATGTCGATGATGAGGATGATATGATGATGTTGATGGTGTCCCGATGCTGATGATGATGCTGATGCTGATGAAAACGATGGTGATCATGATGGTGTCCCGATGATGATGCTGCTGATGATGATGATGACGATGACTGTGTCCCGATGCTGATGATGATGCTGTTGATGATGATGATTGCGATGATGATGATGATGATGATGATGATGGTGGTGTCCCGATGATGTTGGTCACCGTGACGATGATGCTGCTGCTGGTGTTGATGATGAGGACGGTGTCCCGATTATGATGATGTTGGTGATGATGTTGATGTTGGTGTTGTTGTTGGTGGTGGTGATGATGACGTTGATTGTGATAGCGGTTGTGATATCGATAGTGAGATCGATAGTGAGCGATTTTAAGATCGATTGTGACATCGATAGTCAGATCAATTGTGAGATAGACTGAGTGAGATCGATTGTGAGATCGATCGAGGGAGATCGATCGAGCGAGATCGATCGTGAGATCGATAGTGAGACAGATCGAGTGAGACGTTGGTTCCCCCCCCAAAACCTCCTTATCACCCGAAGGGTGGTCGTATAGGTATTTAGTGCTGCTGTGTGGGCGAGTTCCGTCGATCGAATCCGAAGTGCAACTGCCCCCGCCGGCGCGTCGCGCCACGCCTGCCGCGAAAAAAGCGTCTCGACGATCGGCGCGTCGTGCGCGGAGCATCTCGACTCCTTCATCAGGCGCTTCGATTTTTCCTGAACAAACAGCTTGCGCCCAAGCTCTCATCGCCCGCGGGTGAAGGAAATCATTCGCCACTGGAACAACCGCGAGGGGAGTGTCAGAGGCATTGCGTTTCCCCGAAAGCGCCGCAATGCAGCTCGACGGGCGGCGATCAAGAAGGCCGCCATGAAGAAACCCGCGCGCGCCATTTTTCTCGGCGGGCGTCGCGAAGGAGCCCGCGCGCCAATGAGCAACGTGTGTTGATGGGTTTAGGCGCGCCTTGCTCGGGCATTGTGACTGTTACCGTCTAGTTGGGTTTCGGCTACAGAGGGAGCCCTGAAGCGCGCTTTCAGATTTCCGAGGGAAGAAATCAGGGCCACTTCCACCTTATCTCTCTCCCACTTTCTCCTCCCCTCTCTGTCTGTCTGTCTGTCTGTCTGTCTCTCTCTCTCTCTCTCTCTCTCTCTGTCTCTCTCTCTCTCTCTCTCTCTCTCTCAATATTTCTCCTCTCTTTCTCTCAATCTCTCTCCTCTCTCTCTCTCTCTCTCTCTCTCTCATTTTTTGTTTATTCTCTCTCTCTCTCTCTCTTCCTTTTTTTTCCCCCTCTCTCTCTCTCCCCCCGCTGTTTTCTTTTACTTACTTCGTGTGTGTTTTTTTTCACGAGCGACCCCGGGTGCTCGCGGCGTTCCCCTCTCGTGGAGCGCACCCTTTGTCATCTCTGACTGCAGTGTTGTCCCTGCCTTCTTGAGAAGAAACCATGGCAGCGACGGGCGATCATCGATGCCTGGTGGGAGGTTAAAATCACGTTTGCGAAGGAAGAGAGACTTGCTATGGATGGGAAGGTGTCCGCTCATTCTGAACTTAACCAGAATTTGGGAATCGCCCGAGGACGTGGCATGTCGCGCCAGGGCAGAACCTGAGTTTTTGTCCGTGCTCGCGTCAGCGCTGCGCAGAAGTGCGCTCGCGCACATGATCGCGACCAAGGCAGAGTCGGGGGGTAGAGAAGGTCGTTCCTCGGTGCGCGTGCCGTCGACTGGCCCCCCCCACGTTTGCTGCCGGGAAATGCCCCGCGGGTTCAGTGTGATCCGCGCGTTTTCTTGGCCAAGCGCAGATGTGCCCAGCAAGGTCCTATCCTGAATGTGGCGAAGCCCAGTTTTATGTCTCGGTTTCGGCGTGCGTTGCGAGCGGCTGGTAGTTCCGCTCCAGGTTGCGATTGCGCAGGCATCTGAGGGTCAGAAGCCGCGTGTGTGTGTGTGTGTGTGTGTGTGTGATTATTCTTGCGCATCGCGCGCGCATGCCCAGGGTCCGCCCGGCCGAGTTCGAGGGTTTTGTGCGCGGGCCCTTTTGCCGTTGAGGCGGCGCCCGAGGCCGCGGTCGGCAGGTGCACAATTGCCAGAAACTGTTTCGATTACTTCTTAGTCCTTCGCCCGTTGTTGGGAGAAGGGGGAGCGGGGGACTTTCGGGATTGGTTAAAAGCTGTTGATGCCCATGCTATTTTCCCTCAGCCTGTTCGGGTGCTCAGCATCGATGTTGCGAATTGCGTTTGTTCATTAGATTCGTATGGTTAAGTCGGGGGCCGTGGCTGCCTTTTTTTGCCCCCCCCCCCCCCCCCGTGAAACTTGCAGCGCGGCCGGGGGGCGCGCGTTGGAAAGCGGTGAGGACCCAAACCCGTGCTTGCTCGTTGTTTTGTTTGGGGTGTTTTCGGTTTTTTCTCCATTCGAGCGTGAGCAGATTGACCCGGGTAATGTCTTTCTTTGTGTCCCGCTGCAGTTTCTCGTTCGTGGGGCATCCCGCGGAACCGCTGCGGGACCTGGAGGCACCGTCATCGTGGCAATTCGAAGAGTTGAGATTGTTGCGGGCCTTCCTTCGGCGGAGAACGTCACCCCTGCTTCGTGCAATTTGTGAGTTTCAGAAACCCACCACCTTCCTCGCGATGCATGCACCGTCTCTTGGGGTGATGGCCCAGAAGGTCCCTGGGACGGGGGCCTGCTTGCGCAAATGGCGGACACACGGCCGTTTCGGGCGCCTCGGAGACTGGAGGTTTTAGGAGTGCTGCCCCCAAGACCTGTCCACCACAGCTCTATAGGCTCCTCGTCGAACGCCTGTGAAATGATCTCGCGCGCGTGTTTCCGGACGGCGCGTGTTCCTATGAAGCCCCGGTGGAGACCCAGCGTGGGCACGATTGTGCCAGAGATGTTGGCAGGCGCAGGCTCGGAGGTGGGTTGTGGTTTGTGTGTCGTCATCCTTTCGCGCACTTGTTGCATGTTGAGTAGAGCACGTTTCGGTCTGGCACCGCCGTGCGAGAACGCTAGAACGCTAGGAGGAACATGAGGAGAAGGGGGAGGAGGAGGGAGGGAGGGCGGAACAGGAGCAGGAACAAAAGCAGGACCAGGAACTGGAGCAGGAGCAGGAACATAAGAAGGATGAGAAGGAGGAGGAAAACCATAGTAAAACCAATACGCATCCACGATGTTGCAACACACCCTCCTTCCTTTTACTATCCCCTTTTCACAGGCCCCTGCATGAATGTATGCGCATTGCGGGAAGTGGCCCAACAAAAGACAGCCGTTTGAGAATTCTGCATCGTGTCGACACACAATACCTGGCAGTTCAACGCCGCGGATCACCGTGACTGTTGTTGCCTGAGATCCCACATCGTGCCAGAATACCGCTGTTGGGATTTCAACACCGCGAATCAACGTGAACTGTGCGTCCTGACAACCGCAAAGCGTGCCATCACACCATTCCTGGGAGCTTGACCGCACGAACCATGGTATCCGTTGAAATTTTGTCGTGTGAGCGTTTGCGGCGCTAATGCGAAAAACGCACTTTGAACATGTTCTGCCCTCCACTGAGATTGATGCAACTTGTTAAGAAGACTGCGGACAGCGCTACGGCGATAGTCACATTGCGATAATGAGCCGCCAAGCACTCGCGACGCTGTCAGAGACTGTTAAGACATATGTGCAGGCGCAGGCGCGAGCCACATTATGGAAATGACTCGCCCTCCATCCGTGAAAATATGACCAACTTGTAAATCGAATGTGTTCGGCGTTCAGGCGAGAAGCACATTGTGAGAACGACCCGCCCTCCATCCGCGAAGCTGGTGCAATTTGTTATACCAGATGTGCGGGTCGTTGGATCGAAGATCGCATTTTGAAAACGACCCGCCTTCCATCTGTGAAGTTGCTGCAAGTGTCAAGCTTCAGGATTATACATGGAGAGGACGCCTCAGGCGAAATGGCCATCCCGCGTTACCGACACGTCCAGGGGTGCGACAGGGGGGACTTAGTTATAAAGGAAAAAGTGTGCTGGAGGACGAGGAGTGATGAGCAGGTTGAGGAAGCATGGGGGAGGATGAACAGGAGGACGGTTCAGAGTAAACCCGGCACGCGCCAACGATTATGCAGTATACCGTCGCTCCAATTTTTTTTGTTTATATGCCTTTGAACGAATTGGTTTTCACTGCAGGAAGTGGCCCGTTAGAAGACGCCGTTTGAGAACCCCTTGACCAAGCCAAACACCGTTCCTAAAACTCCAACGACGCGAATCAACGTATGCATTGCGCCCTGGCGATCCAGAACCGCGCCAAAACGCATTTTCTAGGACTTGAGAGCCACATTTTGAAAAAGAGCCGTTCCCCATCCGCGAAAGTCTTGCCAACTTGGAAGACGACTGCGCGCGGCGCTAAGGCGGTAGCCACATTTCGGAAATGAGCCGCCCTCCAACAGTGATTTCATGTCTGCAAGCGTTCCAAACGAAAGTGCGCGGCTCTCAGGCGAGAGCCACATTTCGAAGAGGAACCGCCCTTCATCCATGAAAGTTTTGCCGATGTGTACAACGAATATACGCGGCGCTAAGGCGAGAACCACATTTTGTAATCCAGCAGCCGTGCGTGTGCGAAGCCGTTGCGCACTTTTAAAACGCATGCGTGCGTCGCTAAGGCGAAGGCACATTTTGAGAACGGTTCGCCCTCCATCCGTAAAGTCATTGCATATTTGTCAGACGCATGTGCGCGGCGCTAAGGTGAGACCCACATCTGGATACGGAGCCGCCTTCCATCTGTGAATCGGTTGCAACCTTCGAAGGCGAACGTGCGCGGCGCTCACGCGACAACGACATTTTGGAAAGGAACCGTCATCCATCCGTGGCGGATGTTCGCGGCGCTTAGGCGAGAGCCACATTTGGAGAAGGAGCCGCCTTCCATCCGTGAAACTGTTGCGACCTTTTAAGACGAACGTGCGCGGCGCTCAGGCGAGAGCCACATTTTGGAAGGGAACCGTCCCCCATCCGTCGCGGATGTGCGCGGCGCCCAGGCGAGAGCCACATTTTGGAAGGGAACCGTCCCCCTTCCGTGGCGGATGTGCGCGGCGCCCATGCGAGAGCCACCGTTTGAAATGAAAACCGCTTGCCACCAGTGACATGGTTGCAAACGTTTAGGAAGAATGTGAACGGCTCGCAGGTGAGAACCACATTTTGAAAAGTAACCGCCCTCCATCCGCGAATGTCTTACCTACCTGTAAGACAACTGTGCGCGGCGCTCAGGCGAGAGCCACATTTCCAGAAAAATCCGCCCTCCATCAGGGAATATAGTGCGAACGTTCAAGACACATGTGCGCGGCGCTGAGGCGAGAGCCACATTATGAAAACGACCGCCCTCCATCCGTAAAGCTGTTGCAGGTTCTTGGCCTCGGAGGCGTAAGTGGTGAGGAAGTCTCAGGTGAAACGCCGAGCCCGCCTTACCTGCACGTCTCGGGGTGCAACGCGGATAAGTTATGTTCAAGGAAGAGGATGGAGGGAGGAGGGAGCAGGGAAAGGGTGGTGGTGGCCGTTGCCTCTTGGCCTGCGGCGCAGCTGGAGGAGGCCGCCAACAGTGCACCTCTGTTGCAGGAGGGGCTGCGCAACCGCGCAGGTCGCGTGGGGCCGCCGCCGCGCATCCAAAACAATATCCAAGCGAAGATATATGATTGAGCAGAGAGGAGGGGGATTGTTTATGAAAAGGGTGATGATGGTGATGGTGGTGGTGAAGGTGGTGGTGATGGTAATGATGACGATGATGCGGAAGACGATGATCACGACGACGGGGCTGCTAATGCTGCTGATGATGCTGGTGGTGGTGATGATGATGACGGTTCTGACGCTGATGGTGATGGCGTTGAGTGACGTGGAGGAGGAGGAGAAGGAGGCGAAGGATGATGATGAGGAGGAGACGACCCGTGTGCACCCCTTGCTGGCCAGACCACGGGGGTACACCCACCAGCTTTTGGCCTGGGGTCGGCTTGGCCCAGATCGGTATAGGCTGGTGGTTGACAGGGCGTGCCGAACTTTCCTGAGCTGGCCCTTGGATGTCTCGACACAGCCGAGGTTCCCGACGATGCGAATGACGGTCCCGTCCTCTTGCCGAGTGTCGATTGGCGGGGGAAAGGCATCTAGTAGCATACTGGATTGCCTCGCACACACGAGTCAGGAGCGCGCAGGGCTTGACGCGCTGTCTCCTCCCTTCCCCGCCAACCCTGTGAGCGAACAGCTCACCGGGGTGGCCATACACGTAACTTCTAATTTTCGAATGTCGTCGCTGTTTTTCTCGTCGTAGAGGTGCTTGGAGTCAGCGGGCTGGTGGGCGAGATTCAATGACGACGAATCTAGTTCCTGGTTCTCTGTGCGTTCCTCCCGTCTGGCTTCTGCGCTATATGTTCTACCCTCCACTCTTTTCTCTGTGCCCGCCCCTCTTAATTGGATCCCTACCTCCACCCTCTACACTCCACCCTCTTCTGTCTATCCTCAGCTCTCTGTTGTCACCTCTGAGCTGTGATCTCTCCACTCTTTGATATCGGCTCTCTGCTTTCGATATTCTGCGCTCTGCTCCAGATCTTACTAGGGTAGTAGTCGTGGTCGTACTAGTAGAAGTAGTTGTACAAGGAGTAGTCGTATTATTAGTAGTAGTCGTAGTAGTGGTGGTAGCGGTAGTTGTAGTTGTAATTGTAGTTGTAGTTGTAGTTGTAGTGGTAGTGGTAGTGGTAGTGGTAGTGGTAGTGGTAGTGGTAGTGGTAGTAGTAGTAGTAGTAGTAGTAGTAGTAGTAGTCGTAGTAGTCGTAGTGGTAGTGGTAGTAGTGGTAGTGGCAGTAGTGGTAGTGGTA